AGATTTACTAACTCCCTAATTCTGACACTTGCAAGACATCTGATCGAGAGCTATGTGTGCAGCTCCATCAAGGCTTGCCTACTTTCCTCATCAGGAAAATTGACCTTAAAATACCACAATTCAAAAGACTATAAAAGTTAAATAAGTGGGCCAGGTGTGGTGACTCACATTTGTAATCCTAGCACTTTGGGAGACTGAGGTGGGTGGATCACAAGGTCAGGAGTTCAAGATCAGCCTGACCAACATGGTGAAACCCCGTCTCTATTAAAAAAATAATAATAATTTTAAGCTAAATAAGTGAACATAACTGCATTTGTTTTATGAATTCAAAGACCTCAAAATCATTTCAAATGTTATTAAATTCTGTTTTGTTTCTTTCAAAAAGAAACGAAGTTTTAAAAATTGAAAATTGAATTTTTAAAAAATTTCTCAAAAATCTTTGAGAAAAATTGAGATGAGACAAAGACTCTGTGCCTTGTTCCCCTTAGTGGGTCCTGAGTTCCCAGCTATTTGGCCCATAGTCTAGAGTCTTGAATTCACTTTGGGGAAAATGGGAGAAAAGCCGTCACGATGTTTCAGGGCTAGAAGGGTCTGAGAATGTCATTGATCTCTTAGGCAGAGACAAAGACACTATGGCTCAGAGCCAGAAAATGACCTTCCTAGGCCAGGCACAGTGGCTCACACCTGTAATCCTAGCACTTTGGAAGGCCAGAGTTCGAGACCAGCCTGGCCAACATGGTGAAACCGTGTGTCTACTAAAATACAAAAATTAACCGAGCGTGGTGGTGTGCACCTGTAGTCCCAGCTACTTAGGAGGCTGATTACAGGGAGAGTCACTTGAACCCAGGAGGAGGAGATTGCAGTGAGCTTAGATTGTACCACTGCACTCCAGCCTGGGTGACAGAGGGAGACTCTGTCTCAAAAAAAAAAAAAAAAAAAAAAAAAAAAAAAAAGAAAGAAAAAAAAAAAGAAAGAAAGAAAAGAAAGAAAAGAAAGAAAAGAAAGAAAAGAAAGAAAAGAAAGAAAAGAAAGGAAAGAAAGGAAAGAAAGGAAAGAAAGGAAAGAAAGAAAAGAAAGAAAAAGAAAGGAGGGAGGAAAGAATGGAGGGAAGGAAGGAAAGGAAGGAAGGAAAAATGACCTTCCCTGTGGCCCAGGGGGTAGCAGCTGGAGCTTGGGTAGTGATGGGGACCCTGGGACCCTTATGCCACATCGCTTCCGTACATCCTTCTGAGTAGACCCTGTGGCGCCAGACAAGCCTAAGGTGGCAGCTCTCGGGGTAGGACCAGTACTCTCTGTCAGTGGGAACTGCCTCAAAAGCCAAAACTAGGCTCTTGTGCAGAAGCACAGGGGTGACATTCTCTTTTTGAAATAAAATTAGTTTCATCCTATAAGAAACAACCAGTTTGACAGAGCCACCACTAGACTATAGGGCACCTTTGTGCAAACTGTAATGGTCAACAGCATGCCTTCCTCAAGACCCTTTACTTCCATCTGTCAGAAAAAATGCAGAAAACTCTGATTTTATGCGAACAAGACACTCTACTGCCATCTGTTGGAAACAGTTATAAACTTACACATCAGTGAAGTGAGTGGTGTCCCCCAGCACCTTAAACGCAGTGTAACACCTGCGCTACTCTGCCCACACCTCCCTAGCCGTGAGAGTGCATTATGTTTTCAGAAATAGTCTTCAGACTCTAAAAAAGGGAAGACACACATCACTGGTAGCTCCAACTTCCCATCTAAGAGACGACGCATGGGATGTGTTGGGAACAGGACGGGAGACCCTACAGTGTTAGGGTGGGACATAGAGTTTGCAAGCCCGTTTCAGCCAGCAGTGGGCAGGGGGTGATCTTCAGGCCTAACGTTGACACCACTGCACTGAGAGAAATGAGCTTGTGTCTGGGTGCCTGCGAGCGATGACAGTGCCTTCACCTTGTTGGTAACTTAAAAAGTTTTTATGACATACATAAAAACTTGAGCGCATGAAAGCCACATGTAAAAGTTCAGGATTATAAACAATCCTTTCCAGATTATTCACACACACTATCAAATCCTTACACTAGCACAGTGACGAGAAAGTGAGCCAGCTTTTGTTCTTAGAGATGAACGAGAAGAGTCTGGTTCAGGCTGGGCACAGTGGCTCACAACTGTAATCCCAGCACTTTGGGAGGCCAAGCAGGAGCATCACTTAATGTCAAGAGTTCGAAACCAGCCTGGCCAACAAGATGAAACCCTGTCTCTACTAAAGATACAAAAATTAGCTGGGCAGGGTGGTGGCGTGTGCCTGCAGTCCCAGCTACTCGGGAGGCTGAGGCAGGAGAATCACTTGAACCCAGGAGGCGGAAGTTGTAGTGAGCCCAGATCACAGCATTGCACTCCAGCCTGGGCGACAGAGGGAGATTCTGTCTCAAAAAAAAAGAAAAAGGTGAAAAGTCCAGTTCAGCAAGACACACTGACTGGTGCTCTTTAATCTAGAGCCCTGTCAACTGTCTGATTCACTGTCAGAAAAAAAAAATCGAGTCTGTCTCAGTTAACTTATGCTATATGACAAACCACCCCCGTATTCAGTGGCTTAAAAGTAATATCCCTCTACACGGGTCACAGTTCTGTGGGTTGGCAATTTGGACCTAGCTGAACAGGGCAGGTCTTCAATCTTAACGAGACTTACATGTACATCTGCAGGCAGCTGGGAGTTGGCTTCAAAAAAAAGTGGTCTCTTAGCAGGCTAGACATAGGCATTTGTATGGAAACGGCAGGGTTCTGAGAAAGTAAGTGTGCAAGGCCCCTTGGGGACTCAGTGTGTAACAGACACAGCATCTCCTCCCTCTCATCCAGTTGTCAAAGCCAGTCTGAGCAGAGATTCAAGGCTGGGAAAACAGACTCCACCTCATGATGGGAAGAGCTGGAGAGTCACGTGGTAAAGGGCGTGGACATAGCAGGGGTGAGGGTGGGCAGGCATCTTTGTAGTTTATCACTGGTACCAGGGACAGGTGAGACGCTGAGTGCTGGGGGTTGAAAGCACAAAGCCTGCCTTCAAGGAGTCCTAAGACAAATCCTAAGGGGAAGACCATTAAGTTCGCTTGATAGTGCCATGGGAGGAAAATGTGACTTCTCCGGAATTACGCCGGAGTGACCTGGTATGACTGACTCTTTACAACATCAGCAGCCGAAGGTATATGCTAGAGAATCTTATTTTCCTGTTACGTCCGGCCACAGTGTCGTGATTACGTTCTCCCTCAAAGCATGTGACCAGCCACGTCTGGTCATGTTTTCCTGGCCAACCACATTGCTATCACGAAAGAATAACATCTCAAGCAGTAGCTTCCTAGATTTCCATTCAGGCTTTGTCTGCTTTTCTGGCCTTCTGTGGGTGTGCTGTGGGGATGACGACTATGACTTTTTCTGAATTATCCAGAAGATTCTGGCCAAGCACCTTTGCCACATCTCTTGCAGCAGGGAGAAGGTGGAAGAGGTTTAAGGGGAGAAAAGTCTATGTGTGGGGTGTCAGAACGTGGCATGCTGATGAATGTGGTCTTATGCTGGGAAGAAACCTCCAGGACCGAAATCACCAGGAACTCAGTGTCTGTTTACAAAACCGGCCTTGAGGATTGATGCTAACAATGCAAGACTCTTGCCAGCTGTTCTAAGAACGCTTCTCTTCTTTCCTGGTCATTCAAACTGCACCACCTTATCGACTCCACTCACAGCGAATGCTCAGGATCTCCTGGGCAACGTGGGTGAAGATACCCGTGGCTCTCTTGGCAGTTCTCATCTTTAGCCAATAAGCCTCCTTTAGGTAGTAGAAAGATGGTGGCAACAGACAGTTCCTGAGCTCCGCCCGCCTTCCCCTCTTCGGGGGAGCTTCTGACTATCAGGGTGGCTCACAGTGAAGAAGCCTGAGGACAAATACGCAGACAACAAAGACATTCAAGGTGCCCATGACAGCTGGGTTTGCTTCACGCTTTGTGCAGGGTTTGTCTTACATATGCGGGCACTGTCGGCAGCAGACTGCAGAGAATCTTTCCAGATATGACTTGGGGATTGCAAGATGATGATACCACAAAACTGCAGTGTGGCGGTCAAGCATGTGTCTCTGTTTGAATTCCCCCATTCAAGGGGGTTAAAACAAGGATTTGAGGGCAAGTTGTTTATCTGGAAGGTGATCTCAGGAAAAATTGTTGGAGAGCAGGGAAGGAAGGCAATAAAAGGTGTGTCATCAAGCTGGTTACCTCTGTGGGCGAACTCCACAGGGAAACTGGTAGAACATACACTTCAGGGTTATCCCACCCGAGGAGAGAGGGAGCCGGGGTATTGCACACCCGATACAGTCAGCCATGTGTCGGGGCAGATGCAGAGAGGGATGTCTGACCTCATAAACAGAGCCCACCAGTGCCAGGGAGCCAAGGACAAGAGACGCCAAGCCTCTCCGAGCATGGGAGCAAAGGTAAGCTTTGAGCTACAAACGTTGCTTCACTGTTTGGTGGTGAGGACTGTGAGAACAACTAGAAACTTGTCTTACCATGTGTGAAAAGTTGTAACACCAAATGCAGCATCAGAGGGCAGGGTCTTTTCAGAACTGAGCTAGAGGAAATTGCCATCCTGGGTCAGGATGAAATGCCTGTTCTAGATGAGAACATGCTGCTGACTTTGGTTCGCAGACAGCATGAATTCCACGGGGTTGAGAGAAATACGTAAATGACAGCAAAGTAGAATGCAGGCCTGTAGGTGCTTTAAGCAGCCTTTCATGTGAGAGCGGTATTTATGAAATTATTCTACAGATGGCCAAGATCTCGCAAGATAATAGGTTTATCAGAAGCCAAGTAAGCTTGGGAAATGCCAGATCCCTGGGTTTTTCTTGCCAGTGTTTAATCTGAGGGGTCCTCTGAGCCTCCCTAGCCTTGTGAGTGCAGGTCACAGCTACCCAGGGCAAGCGGCCTTGGGGTCACAGTGGCTGATTCTTCAGCACTTCTAACTCAGCTTCTCCTCTTTCTGCCTTCCAGATGGGCTTCTTCCGCCGAAGGTACAAAGAAATTATCGAAGCTGAGAAGAACCGGAAAGAGAATGAAGACAGTTGGGACTGGGTCCAGAAAAACCAGTGAGCTGCCACACCAGTCACATGACCTGATCACTAGCCTGTCATCCTTGATCTTTGTATCTTCCATATTTGGAAGAAAAAAATCTTCTCCAGATTTTTCGGAGGCCCCACTGATGCTGTTCTCGTCTTCATCCTATCAAGCACAGGTGCCAGCCTGAGGTAGCCACGTCGGCCGGGTCACATGACCGGGGTCAGCACCACTCCCTTCAAAGATGAACTCCGAACTTTGGAGAGCGAGCTGCAGAGCCGAGCAGTATTTATGGATGCAACACGCATGGCCAACCCTCAGGGGAAAACTGTTACCTAAAGTATTTTTATAAATATAAGCCTTTTATACTGATTATGTCTTTATATTTGTATCGATGTTTTATTATTTCTATTAAATAGTTATATAATTCACTCAAGCACTGATATCTGGCCTAAAATCTTGGAAGTGCATGTCAATGAATACCAATGTTAAAGGATGAAAATCTTACTGTACTTTGGAACTTGCTGTTTAAAAAGACCTACAGATGAAATACATTGAAGAAACCTCACGTAATGAATCCACCAGGCTGGCGGTGGTGCATCTAAACTGTGGATGCGGCAAGACCCCTAAGACATTCTCCTCTTTATTGCCTCAGTCAGGTGTGGAGTCATGTGCTAACATGTGCTAAAGAACTGTAAGTGCTTTTTCATGTGTACTTTTCATTGGAAGACTCCCAAGAAGAATTTGGATGGAAAACCTGATCCCTAGCAAGAAGTCTGCTATGTATCACCTTTACACAACAGACATGTCCCCCTCCTTCTGCACAGATGATGGATGAAAGCTTGGAGCAATGCCATGTGGTCACCTGGTAAACCTCAGAATGACATCTCATCCTGGACGTCATGCGTCAGAGTTCACACACCGCAAGGACTAAATCATTGTCCCCCAAGCAAAGAACTGGGTCTGAATGCTGTGAGGCATTGCCTTTTCCTGGGGACTCTCATTCAGAGATCTCCACTTCCCCTACACCCTGGCTGTCCAGCTAGTGGTGATTGCAGATTCCTTCCCAGAGGGGACCATTTAACCATTTTTTTAAAAATGTCTTGGGTTGGGTTCCCAAGAAGCTGGCCCTAAAACAAGGATTTGTAACTTATTAAGGAAGTATTCCTGGGAGATAGCAGTAAGGGAATGGGGGAAGCAGGACAAGGAAGGAGAGAAAGCCAGGCAAAGGCGTAGCATTTCAGGGAGAGCTCCATGGACTGTAGCTTCTGCCTGATCAGGGGAGCTCCGGAGGGAAAGTTAGGTCTCAGAGGTGTCCCAACCTGAAGCAAGGGGCTGGCTGCGCCCAGGGGAGATGTACACGTTCTGTTCTCAGTTCCTGCTGGTGTAATGGCTCCAGTAGCTCAGGGCAGTCCTCTAAAGGAAAACCACCGGTGCATCCTCAACCAGGGGTGACACAAGGAAATGATGCAAAGGGATCTGAGCAGAGCACTGTCCCTCCCCGTCCCCCGTATGTGTGAGTGCTGAGTTACGGCGTTCGGTACCCAAACTCTCTGTTTGACAGTAGATATGTTGTCAGATGCACCATGCTGCCCACTTCTGAGTGCAGTGTGATTTTCTGAAAGGGCAGTGAGATGATGGAGGTAGCATGCTCAGCACTGACCTGGCCCACAGTGATCACTCAGTAACTGTTAGCAGCTATGGCTGCTGCTCCTGCTGATGGATAACCATCTAATAAGACAGAAAACCTGGGGCTAAGAGCAGGGTCTAACAGAGTCCTAATGGCTTATTACAGCCCGCCAAAGCGCCAGATGCATACACATGGCATCCAGTGGGGATGGAACAATATATTAGACCAAGGATCTTTCTTATAGCACCTTGTTTACTGGAAGCTAACATGTTGGGAGTCTGTAAACATTGTTGAAAAGACACCAAACTCAATTCTGGAAGACAGAGTTTTAATACACAGACTTGGCTAATACAACCGTATCTAAAGTTTTGGCAACATTGTGAAGGGTGAGGGGCGGGTACTAAGCTGGCCTGGAGCAGGTGTGTCTTTTGGTTTCTTATGATGCAGTTGACTCTGCTGCAGGGAGGTAGCCTCATGCTTCCCTTCCTGGTGAACACGAGAATAGACCCAAAAACCAAGGGTCAATGGCATGAACTAAGCTGATCCTAGAAGTCGGGGTGTTGCATCTAACTGTGGGACGGATGCACAGAGGTAGCTACAGGGGGCAGGATAAGGCCAAGAAATCAGCTCTCAGAGTTCACTTATGAGTTGTATCAAAAGCAATAAGAAAAGTAGGCTTGGGTGGGCTTTAGTCCCTTATCAGCAGCCATTTACGAGGCCCCTGCTGTGTGTCAGGTGCTGTACTAGGTGCTGGAGGTTCCCCAGAGAACACTTCAGGCACATTTTGCCTCAGGGTGGCAAAATGCCATGGCATGTGAAATGTGGACTTTTTTAATGGGATGCCATTTGCAGCCTTCTTTGACGGACTCTTGTTCATAATGCCATGTTTTCTTTAAGGAATCATTTAGGAGTCTTAGGTGATATTCCTGGAACAGCACTCAACAGCTTTGGCCGCATGCACTTAGAGCAACTAACTTGGCTCCTGCAAGGGTTGTGGGTGCGTGGGTGACAGTGTAGAAGGGTGACTCGCCCACGTTCTGCCAGCCAGCAAAGCCCCGCTGGAGAAGGGTGGACTCCTGTAGGCAGTCTCAGAGCTGGGAACTGTTTGCTTCTGCTTGATTCTGCATGGGTGGACCCACATGAGGAGTTGTCTACCCAGGAAGTCACTAAGATTTTGACTTGGCATCACCACGAACAGATACTGAAAGCCTCCCCAGGAACCCATCTGGGAAAGGATGGTGCCTCTGCTGGTCTGATCATGCTGAGTAGCCTCCCCAGCCCTATGAGTGCAGGTCACACCTAAACCAGGGGCAGGCTGCCGTGGGGTCACAGTGGCTGATTCTTCAGCACTTCTAACTTGGCTTCCCCTCTTTCTTTCTGCTGAGGAGTTATCCGTTTTGCACAGTGATAGAGAAGTCAAGTGTGTTGTTAGCACGCTCTCAACTTGGGCAGTTCACAAGCTCCTTCCCAGTTCAGAAGCCCTCTGTATGCTCTCAGGGGAAGCAGATAGGGTGGACTGATACATCTGTGTTACCCTCCGGAATACTGTTTGAACATTCTGCAGTATGTTCTACTTTCTCCCCTTCCTGTTTCTGTGGGTTTCGTGGAATCCTATAGGATGTTCTCCTGGACAACACAGTTCCTTCAGCTTTAAGTTGCATAATCAGTGTGGTTTTAACCAACTGTTCAGAGAACTGAAATGCTTTTTAAGTATGAAAAAGGATCTTTGTAAAAGTTAAGTAAAACAGTGCCCCTTTTTAAAAAAAATGTTTTGCTTATGCTCAGTTTACGTAGGACTCAGGAGAGTTTGGAACATCCCCCAAGTGAGGCTTAGACGTGTCACAAAGGAGAGGCCATGAAGTGTAGAAACAAGGGGACACCAGCAGGAGGGGCAGGAACCACTGGCTTGGTGGCAGGTGACAGGCATCCATCCCAAATCACTCGGTGCTGAGGTTTCCTCAGGCAGTTCTTGAGGAAACCTCTGTCAGCATTGTGGGTACTCAGAGGTGTGGCAGACTTTGTGGAAGATCCAGTAGGAAGTCCTCCTTCACCAAGCCGTGTAGCTGCTGCCCTTGAGCCAAAGGCAACAAGATTTAAAACAAAATCCCGGCAGCGCTCCTGGGAGCATCCTGTTTTCCATGCGGAAGTAAAGCAGATCCCCAAGCCCTCCGCGTGCTGTATGCTACCTGTTGAATCATGCATGGCGGCTCTTTGAAAGGTTATTTGTGGCTTTTATTTTGGGGTAAGGCATTATGGCCAGGTGCCTGCAGTTTCGTCCGGGTTACCTGTGAAACATACATCTGGTGAACTGTATGCTTGGCTCAAACTTCTCAAAATGTAGAGGTGCTGGAAAGGATTGTCACTTGGAGCCTTTAGTAGACAAAAGGCAGAAAGCAAGCATCGTTTCAGAAATGCTTTAGTATGCTCATTTTTAGTTGATATTTTGATATATAGAGTAACAGTATACACAGTGGAGGATATTTTCTGAAACAAAGAACGGCTGAAGGGAGAATACAGAGCCAGTAGGGCCGAAATGAAACTTCTAGGATGGCCTCTGAATTTTCAGCACGTGGGGGGCGTAAAGGAACAAATTGCCCAACATGGTGCAGTGCTCTATAGCACAATGATCTAGATTTCAGACTGTGTTAAGGTTTTGTATTTTTAAATTCTAATGTGCACGGTGTGATTTGCAGAGTGAGTTTAAAAGCTTTCCGAGTGATTAATTGCATGGCAGGCACCCACGCTATCTGCACTTCCAGAACGTTACTGAGGCATCCACGTGCATTTCCATTGAGGAATTTTGGTGGGCGGGGGGAGGGTGTACTGCCTCACGATGTCACGTGTATTAAAGTCTAAGCAGTCACTTCTAATTCACTTGCACTGTTTGGGAAATATGTCAGGTTTACAAAAACATGTTTGGAATTAAAAAATGGCTGCAAACGATTCAGGAGTTCAGTCTGTAATTTATTTGTTAGTAAGAACTAAAGTGTTGATAGGGTTTCAGTGTGATACAACATGAGCTTTAAAGAGCACATCAAGGTCCGTCTAATTCACGTGGACACCCCACCTGCTGTGGCTGAACTGTCCACAGTCCTTGGTTCCTACACCAGAGGCACAATCTTCTCTCTGCATCAACCCCCTGACGCCCCTCCCACCCCCCCACCCAGGGCTACACCTAGGATCTTGATCTTGCCGTAAATGTGCCCAAATGAAATGGCATAGATTCCTTATTGTCAGTAGATGACTACTTTCACGTGGCTACCAGTTACTAAGCATTTTCCCCGAAGCATTTTAATAGCATTCTTACACATTTATAAATATTGTATTCTGTTAGGTTTTCACTCTTCTTCATCTGTCTATTAATAGTCATGTCCTTGTTCATATTCCACATGCTGTTCATTTGTGTGTTTTACTTCTTTCCGTAGATGAGAATTTGCCAGAAAGGGGTCCCAATCTAGACACCAAGAGCAAGTTTTGGATCTTGGGCAACAAAGAATTCAAGGCTAGTCCATAAACTGAAAGCAAGTTTATTAAGAAAGTAAAGGAATAAAAGAATGTCTATTCCATAGACAGAGCAGGACCAGTGCTGCTGGTTGCCCATTTTTATTGTTACTTCTTTATTATATGCTAAACAAGGGGTGGATTATGCATGAATTTTCTGGAAAAGGAGTGGACGAATTCCGGGGACCTAGGGTTCCTCCCTTTTCTAGATTATATAGGGTAACTTCCTGACATTGCCATGGCATCTGCAAACTGTCATGCCACTGGTGGGAGTGTCGTTTAGTGTGCTAGTGCATTATAATTAGCATATAATGAGCAGCAAGGACAACCAGAGGTTACTGTCATAGCCCTTGGTTTTGGTAGGTTTGGGCTGGCTTCTTTATAACAGGCTGTTTTATCAACAAGGTCTTTATGACCTTCATCTTGTGTGGACCTCCTATCTCCTCCTGTGACTTGGAATGCCTAACCTCCTAGGAATGCAGCCCAGTAGGTCTCAGCCTATTTTAGCCAGCCCCTATTCCAAATGGAGTTACTCTGGTTCAAACACCTCTGACAAGACCAACAAAGATCTACGTATTTTCTTGGTCTTTTTCAAGAGAAAGCCTTTGGCTATACCAATCAAGTCTACTGGTTTTTGCTTCTATTTCATTAAGTACTTACTGCTTTTAGATTTATTAAAATTTCTTCCATCACCTTGATGGTTAAAATGCATACACATAGACACCACACAGTATAAAAGAGGTATGAAAAAATATTCACCAAGGGGTTAAGAATGAGTGTCTTTAGGTAAGTAAGATGGTCAGTGTTTTTGCTTTGTTTTATTTTGTTTTTATTTGTCTGAATATTCATTTCTACAGTGAGCATGTATTTCTTTTGTAACAATGAAACATATGCAAATTACTTATAAATAAAAATATAGCTGGGAGAGTAAAAATTGCTAAGCCAAAAGAGATGCCAATTTGTGGGTCTAGAAAGAGATCTCTTGTAGCAAAGAGCATTGATGAGCCTAACACTTATGACAGTGACCCAGTAAATAATTTCAAGCATTTTAATTCCAGTGCTTCCTGGCTTAACAAACCTGCCACCATTACTAATGCGAATTAAATAGGTTTCTCTGAGGTTGCCTGACCTGTTTTCCTAAGCCAGGAAATGGACTTGACAAACTCAAAAGATACAAATTGAAGAGGAAGAAAAATCACTAACTAGTAAAGTTCACTTCCTGTTCAACCTGGACTTTTACAGCCCCCCAGATTACCTCCCATCCTTAAAGTCTGTCTGGTTATCAGGTTACTGTTTGGTAACGGAATTAATGTAAGTGCTTACTTAGAGCTCAGGCCGCACTGACTGATTGGCAGCTATCCATCAGCAAAGCCACCTGTCCCTAAGATTATTTCCATTTACTCTGTGTATACTGTATCTAGCCTGACCAAAAAAAAAAAAGACTTACAATAGCTTACTTATTTAACATGTCACAATCTAAAGTTAGTCACCAGTCACTGTCTTTTAATGTATTTTAATTTTATTTTAGCCACATAAGTCACTGTTTTTACTGTTTTCTTTAGTGAATGCTAGTCTAGATTTGCCCCTCTATTTGCCACCTTCTTGGTTCTTAATTGCTTCTTGCATCTCAGATATTTTCTCCTGGGATCATTTTCCTTATGCCTAGTACATCCTTTAGAATTTCCTTTAGTAAGAATCTGCTGATGGTAAATGTTTCCATTTTGTGTTATCTGAAGCTGTCTTTAATTGCCCATATTCTTGACTCTTTGCTGGTACAGAATTCTAGATCAGCAGTTATTTTCTCTTAGTGAATGAATATAACATTTCATTTTCTTCTGTTGCCGTTGTGACTAAAAAGAAGTCAGCAGTCAGCCCAACTGTCTCTCATTTAAAGGGGTCCTGTCTTTTAGGTTTCTGTGAAGATTCCCTCTTTGTTTTTGTGTGCTGTAGTTTTCCTCCGAAGGAAATACGACATTTATTCTTACCTTTTCTGCTTGCGATTTGCTGTATGTCTGTGGCTTGATGCCTTTCATCAGTTCTCTTCATCTCTTTAAATCTTATCTCTGCTCCATTCTCTTTCCTCTCATTCTAGCCTTCTTGCTTCTTGGTGTAGACAGTCACCAGCACTGCTTACTCCTGTGATCCGCTCTGCACCATGGCAACTTTCCTCACAGTTGTCCTTGGTCGTCCAGGAGTTCTAGCACCACTCCTATTTCCATCTCATCACCTCTCTGTGCAGCGTTCTGGACCATCTCCTGTATCCTATTTCTGTATTCACTCTCTTTTCAACTGGGTCAAACCCGCTTTTAGACTTGTTTATTAAGATTTGTGTTTCAAATATTGTATCTTATATCCAAAGGTTCTTTTTAGTTCTTCCTGAAATACGATGGGCAATTCTCTGTATTTTCTTGTTTGTTACATATAATTTCTTTTTTATTTATTTATTTATTTTGAGTTGGAGTTTCGCTCTTGTTACCCAGGCTGGAGTGCAATGGCGCGAT